AAATACCGGAAAGGAACCCTGTCCACACCCCACCTGTCCCAAACAAACCCCCCCCCCCCCATACCTCAAAAAAAAAATCATCCTCCCATCCCCAACACCCCCCACCCCGTAACAACATAATCCATCAAATATAATTTTCCGAACACATACCATCTCGATCTACTTAATTTCCCGGACCTATGAGACAAAATCTCATGTACTGTATCTGATGAATAATGTCTAAGTACAGACTCCTTAAAAATCGCGGCCTAATTATTTATGTATTATATACTGCGACAATAAAGCTGAAGCTACTGTATATAATTTAAATTTTTAAATCTCGAAAATACGCAAAGTATTCCCAGCACGACCTTACCATTATAACCTTAAAATAACGACCCTAACCATCACGACATTACCCCACGGCCATACGATCACGATATAACCACCACGCCTTTAAAATAATGACATTACCATAATGGCCTTACCATCTTGACAGTACCACCACGATCACACCATCACGACATTACCATCACGACATTACCATCACGACATTACCATCAAGGTCACACCATCACGACATTACCATCACGACCATACCACCACGACATTAAAATCACGATCAAACCATCACGACATTACCATCATGGCCATACCATGACGACATTACCATCACGACATTTTCATAACGGTCATACCATCTTGACCTTACCATTACGACATTATCATCATGGCCTTAACATAACGACTTTAGCATCACAACCTCACCATCATTACCATACAATAACGACCTTACGGTAACGGCCTTACCAGCATGGCCTTACCATCACGACATTACCAACAGGGCCTTGCCATCACGACCATACGATCACGTCATCGGACCATGCTGTCCTCTAGATTCGTCATGATAAATTACAACCACAGCAGTTAACCACCAGATGGCGTCATGACGTTAACACAGGGGCATAGCAATCGAAACCCAAGAACTACACGAGGATAACCAGTGGCTTACTGGCCGCAAGCAGCGCACCAACACAGGAGCAACTAACTCAGTCTACCTGAAGGACAAAACCAGGATAACTCTTAAATCATGGGCCACAGCGTAATAATTCCCCTCATTATGAACCCGAGCCCTAAGTGCATCCAAAGTGTAGTGTCCCACTAAGTGCATCCAAAGTATAGTGTCACATTGAGTGCATCCAAAGTGTAGTGTCCCACTAAGTGCATCCAAAGTGTAGTGTCCCACTAAGTGCATCCAAAGTGTAGTGTCCCACTAAGTGCATACAAAGTGTAGTGTCCCACTAAGTGCATCCAAAGTGTAGTGTCCCACTAAGTGCATCCAAAGTATAGTGTCCCACTAAGTGCATCCAAAGTATAGTGTCCCACTAAGTGCATCCAAAGTAGAGTGTTCAGTTCAGGTATACTTTGTCTCATTTCCCTCCTTTCTAATGATTCAAAAAATTGTTGTAAAACATTTTTTTGTCAAGCCTTTGTCTGGACCCTTGTTAAATCGTTTGGGGACCCTTATTTTACTCTTCAATTACCAAACATCCTCTGCATTTTTGTAAAATTAAAAGATAACGTAAAAAATGCGAACACCATGTGCAAAGAGAAATTTAAAATAAAAAAAAATGATGGTTTTTATGATAATGTAAAAGATATTCTAATGATAGTGACTATTTGATTGCTGACGTCTGGTGACCAGTTATACCATGCCACCCCTTTTATTAGTTGGATCTAATACCACCAATACCGTTTAACGTGAACTGTTATTAGAAGATCGATTACTTTGTAAGGCTACTTGATAACTTTTTTTTTTTTTTTGTTCTGTAATAAAATGTGACCATCGCACCTACTTGTTAGGACGCAACTCGTTTTATTCATTCAGAATGTCCTAAAGGTTTAGTAATGAACAACAACAATGTCTCCACTAGCATTGCCCCTTGGCCAGTGTTTCCCAAATGTCATCTTTCGGCTCCCGGTGCTGTTTCGCTCTTCATTGGGGTTACCGGGAATTTTGCTTTGGGGGCCCGGCACCGGGTCGCGACTCGGCATTTGGGGGAAACAATGCCCTATTTCCCAGGTGATGGCACACAGTCGTTTCAGCGTGTCATCTTTTGTGGCCGAACGGCTTGCTCTCGTTGTGTTCACGACCGTGTTGTGATTTGGGTTTGAAAGTTGATGAAAGACTAACTGTCAGTGAATTGTGATTGTAAGTTGAATAAACAAGTAAAGAAATAGAGATATTCTGTCAGTGTCGAGCGTGAATTTTTTCCGGGGGGTGGGGGTGGGGGCGGGATGGGTGGGAGGGGACATAGTTTGGGAACACCTTACACTAGGTGATGTGGTTCAAATTAAATACACCCTTACTTCAACCAGTACACGATAGTTAGAGAGTCTCTAAACAAAAACATAGGCACACCTAGGCACTGCACCGGTATACACATAATATGCACACGACATGCACATAACATTGGCATACACATAACATTCTCATACGCATAACGTAGGCGTACACATAGCGCAGGTATGCACAAAGCAGAGGTATACACGTAACATAGGCATACACAGGATGGTTCGTCCGTCAATTCGACTAGGACCGGTTCGGGGGCAGGGTGGGTTCGGTGAGCTCGTAGGTGGCTTGCTAGACCGCTCCGTGCTCGGAATAATATACACATAACATACGCATACACGTAGCACAGCCATATATATATATAACATAAATATACATATCATAGGAATATACATAACATGTGAAGCTTGAACAAAGAATTAGCTGCATATTATTTTCATTTTGTAAAAGTGTCCATTTTGCTGGAGAAGAATTGTACAGTAAAGCTAGATAGTGGAAAAAAAAGTAATACATTTTTTTTTTCATGTATAAGTTTGCACGTGAACCCCGTTTTCCATTGCGGGAGAGCATTGATGATGTCAAGTCATGGACGACACTCAGCAAGTTGAAGCTTAACAATGACAAAACGGAAGCACTCCTTATTCACGATCACAAATCATCCTCCAACTCAGCTCTCCCCACTTCATTCCAAGCAGGTAACTCTGACATACAGTTTACATTCTCCGCTCGGAAACTTGGTTGTCTTCTCTCTAACAACATGTCTCCCGATAATCATATCTCTCACAATTTGTGGCTCTGCATACACCGCTATCCGTCAGCTCAGCTCCATCCGCCACTACCTCACTGTAAGCGCAAGAAAAACCCCAGTCTGTGCTCTTGTTCTTTCTCGTCTTGACTATTGCAACTCTCTTCTGTCAGGTTCACTAAAACATTTCTTAGAAACATTACAAAATGTTCAAAACTCAACTGCTGGGCAAATTCTAGGGGCAGAAAAAACAAACAAACAAAAAACGTGATCACGTCCCACCACTACTTCATTCACTTCATTGGCTCCCTTTACAAGCACGGATTGATTCTCTGTTCTCAGCCACAATTGGTTCTCGAATTCCTGACCTTCCTATCTAACCGAACTGCCTATTCACTCCTTGGACAGCTTCGCCCCTCCGCAGACGCGCGTATTCTTTCTATTCCAAAGACTCGCACAAAAACACACGGTGAACGATCTTTCTCTTTCTGTGCCCACCAAAAAAGGGACTTCTCTTCCACTACACATTCACAATATACCGACCATCACAGCCTTCAAAACTACACTCAAAACACATCTCTTTCAACTCTACTATCCCGACTGATTCCCCCCTCTGACAGCTAAACGATGCTGCCGGCTACCCTCCATGGCTTGACATGTAAATAGTTCTGGAATGTGTGGAGTGAATATACATTTGTTTTGTTTTATTTAATTATTGTATGTTAATTTTTAAGTTCATGGTTATATCTGTTAAAGTGTATATACAGCGTAGTGAGCCCAGCCCTGGGCTGGGGTACCGCGCTATATAAAACTACTATAAAACAAAATGATGAACAAGCCCCTACCTCTTTTGCGATTTAGTATTTGTACATTTCCTTCATTTCTTGTCATTTATGTTGATTCCAACAAACTTCGACCGACTCCAACCAACTTCGACTGACTCCAGTCAATTACGACCAACCCTAACCAACTACGACCGACTCTAACCAACTACGACCAACTCTAACCAACTACGACCAACTCTAACCAACTAAGACCGACTCTAAACAACTACAACCAACTCTAACCAACTACGACCAACTCAAACCAACTTCGACCAACTCCTGCCAACTACGACCGACTCTAACCAACTATGACCGACTCTAACCAACTATCACCGACTCTAACCAACTATCACCGACTCTAACCAACTATGACCGACTCTAACCAACTATGACCGACTCTAACCAACTATGACCGACTCTAACCAACTATGACCGACTCTAACCAACTATGACAGACTCTAACCAACTATGACCGACTCTAACCAACTATGACCGACTCTAACCAACTACGACCGACTCTAACCAACTATGACCGACTCTAACCAACTATCACCGACTCTAACCAACTACGACCGACTCTAACCAACTATGACCGACTCTAACCAACTATCACCGACTCTAACCAACTATGACCGACTCTAACCAACTATGACCGACTCTAACCAACTATCACCGACTCTAACCAACTATGACCGACTCTAACCAACTATGACCGACTCTAACCAACTATGACCGACTCTAACCAACTACGACCGTCTCCAACAAACTTTGACCGACTAAATAGCTCTACAGGACGCAATTCTCATGATAACTGTACAATCGTGAAACCTCAACCTGAGTTGACACCCCATATTAGAACAGTTTGTCTTATAATAGATAACTTCCACCAAAAAAAAAAAAAAAATAACAGAAAAAACAACATTTTTAAAAATTCAATAGTATAGCGTCATCCTATTGTGTGGACATGTCAACTACGTCATTTCCGTTTTATTGAATGGGAGGGAAATAGGAAAAGAACAGAAACTTATGTCTACCTTCTAGCCGCAGCACCGCTGCACACTCGCAACAAGGCAATATTTAACAGATTAGAAAAGATGGGAGAGTCTCAAACGGTCAAGCGCTCGACCTTGCGGGTAATTTTTTTGTCATTTAAAAGAGGAACGATCTAAAACAGATGGATGAGTGGGTAGCAATAAAATTTTTAAAAAAAAAATGAATAATAAAGTGTAAAAGCAACTTATTCATTGCACGGATTTTACTTTTAAATACATTTGAGGAAACGAAGGTCCCCAATAATTATTTTGAACTGGGCACATAGACTATAGGATAGCGGTTCTACATGTACCCAAAGTCTTGTAGAGATGATTATGACAAAGAAATTGTCTGTGAAAGGTCTGCGAGATTATACATTTTTAAATACAGGTGCGTAACTAGGCTATAATCATCTCAAATTATACTCATTAAGGGTTCGACTCCCAGAATTATATGCAGTTTTTAAATTGAATTAATTTTTTTACCAAAAAATACGTTACCCCATTCTGAAAGTATTTCAGTTGATGTCATCGGACTAGTTTTACATCATTGTATTCAGATGTATTTATTTCTATGTTACCGGGACATATATTATCTGGGAAATATTTGAATGTTAGAGCGTCAATAAATAATAATTTTAAAAAAATCGATTAAAAAAAAATCGTTATTCTCTTCTGACCACCGCAGACGCTCTTCGGTAGATAAGGGAGATAACCACGAATAAAGGAATTAAGCCGTCAGATGTCAGAGTAATGGAACCTGACTTACTCAGTTCAAACAGCGATTCGCCACCGAAGACTTGATAGATGATTATGTTGTCATATCATCACGGAATTAAAATGTAAGTAGAGATGGCGACAAGTGCCCCCCCCCCCAAATGGCGGCCCGGCTGACCAGCACCGGTCCTTCGAGCCTTACGTTTCCGGTCCGCACAACATGAATGTTTAGGGTGGTATAACAAATCTTGAACAAGCACCTGATGGGATTTCGTGTCCGGTGGTCTACCCTGCTTGAAAAGCTAGCTAGGGAAACACCTTGTATAGACCACGAAGACTGGATTCTAGAGAAGACAGTAACATAATTTTCTGCGTAAAGAGTCATTTTACGAATTGTGTATTGAGAGTCATCGCGTGGCCCCCATTCAGACGCAACATCTGCGGCTTGAAGTGGACCTCGGGCTTTAAATGAGTGTGAAAGCCTGAAGTTGTACCTCCGAATTCAGTCATGGAAATGATTGGCTAAGTACGATACAGACAAACTGGGACATTCAGTCATGTAAATGATTGGCTAAGTACGGTACAGACAAGTTGGAATAAAATAGCTCGGAAATCAATTATGAGGTGAATGTGAATTATTACTATTACTATTGTTATCACAAAAAAGAAGTAACATAAATTTTATGTGATCTTAAACTTAAGGTATTTGATCATCAAAATACGGATTTCCTCATAGTTTTAACTATGTGGGTTCTTTTGGCATAATTAAAAGAAATCAAGCAATCGAAAATTTCTGTTATAAAAAGTTGACCCCGAGATTCGAGTGCCACGTGTTATTACTTCCACTTCCATATAAGCCATGTTATAAAAACAAACTCTTAATGTAAGTCAAAGTTCGATCTTCAATCGACTATACCAATGCCTTATTCGTCAATAACATTAATAAATTTACCTAAACATCCTGACCTTCACGTCGCGACTCGTCTACACTTACATACAACACACGCGCGCTACAAAAACAAAACACATCATAGCGCCCTCATACGTTACACATGAAAAGTACACAGATCTAGTCTGTCGGTCGGCTCTGCTTGAACTTGATACACGTGGTGTGAGGGGTTCCCACTTGGCACACCACATATGTCATTGCCATGTCTGACTTGATACACGTGGCGTGAGGGGTTCCCCACTTGGCACACCACATATTTCATTGCCATGTCTGCCTTGAAACACGTGGCGTGAGGGGTTCCCACTTGGCACACCACATAGGTCATTGCAATGTCGGACTTGATACAAGTGGTGTGAGGGGTTCCCACTTGGCACACCACATAGATCATTGCCATGTCTGACTTGATACACGTGGTGTGAGGGGTTCCCACTTGGCACACCACATAGATCATTGCCATGTCTGACTTGATACACGTGGTGTGAGGGGTTCCCACTTGGCACACCACATAGGTCATTGCCATGTCTGACTTGATACACGTGGTGTGAGTGGTTCCCACTTGGCACACCACATAGGTCATTGCCATGTCTGACTTGATACACGTGGCGTGAGGGGTTCTCACTTCGCACACCACATATGTCATTGCCATGTCTGACTTGATACACGTGGCGTGAGGGGTTCCCACTTCGCACACCACATAGGTCATTGCCATGTCTGACTTGATACACGTGGCGTGAGGGGTCCCCACTTGGCACACCACATATGTCATTGCCATGTCGGACTTGATACACGTGGCGTGAGGGGTTCCCACTTGGCACACCACATAGGTCATTGCCATGTCTGACTTGATACACGTGGCGTGAGGGGTTCCCACTTGGCACACCACATATGTCATTGCCATGTCTGACTTGATACACATGGTGTGAGGGGTTCCCACTTGGCACACCACATGTGTCATTACCATGTCTGCCTTTAACTAAGTCATATAAACAAAGAAAAACAAGTCATATTTTTTGAAAATGAAATCCCGGGATTTTCGAAAAACCCGGGTTTCATAAATCCAATCCCGGGACTTGGGAGCATCCGTTATGGCGTTATGGTTGGGTATTCCGTTATTTTTGACATTCGGGATCCCGGATTGCAACCCCCATTTAAGAATCCATTATATACATTTCTGTTGATTTCTTTGTTCATATTTCCTTTATTTTTCCCCCCTTCAAAAAATCATTAAATTAAGTTTTTTATTCCCCCCCCCCCATTTATTTCTGTCACATATACAAAGCACATAGCAACAGCTGCACAACTAATCTCCACACCAAAAAACACGCAATCATTCAACAAATAATTACCATTTCCCCGCTCCCTTGAAAGACAGGAACACTATTTTAGGGGGTTGGGGTGGGTTGGAGTTGAAAATTGTATATAATAGGTTGTCATCGGCATCGAGTCTATGTGCCAGGTTCTCAGATCCATAGGATGACGGGTAGTGGCTCTGTTAGCCTTCCGAACAGTTTTGCAACACGGAAACACACGAGGAAAAAAAAAAGCGAAGATAATATAAGTTATTTAAGATAGTAACATCTATTTAATCAAGGGGCACTACCACGCTACAATGTTCTTAATTTAAGGTTAAGATCATCTACGTGCCTTCTCACCAAATGAAGTCTCTATTGAAAAAAGCACTGCCGGTGGAATAAACAATAGTGTGATGTTACGACGATAATAACTACGTTCTATTATCTGGGACTTGTGGGATAGCTAGAGTTTGAAGCGCCCGGGGCTGTCAATGAATTTAACGCCCGTTGTGCACGAAAATCACAATGCATACATCATTCTCGTATGCACTGAACGGTTCAATGCATACGAGTTAGATGGAAAATGCCAACACAAAAAGTGATTTCCTAAGCTGACATCATAATTCCCCAACCCCCCCCCCACACACACACACAATTCCTATGTCCCTGGACTTAACATTTAGTATGCACTGAACGGTTCAATGCATACGAGTTAGATGGAAAATGCCAACACAAAAAGTGATTTCCTAAGCTTACATCATAATTCCCCAACCCCCCCCCCCACACACACACACAATTCCTATGTCCCTGGACTTAACATTTAGCGTTAAGCAGACATTTAACGAATGACTCTTAGCTATATATAAAACATTTAGAATTAAGCGCACAGCTAAAGAAGGACACTAGCTATATATAAAACATTTAGAGTTAAGCACACAGTTAAAGAAGGACACTAGCTATATATAAAACATTTAGAGTTAAGCTTACAGTTAAAGAAGGACTCTAGCTATACATAAAACACTTACAAGTTCTGCTCAACGTAATTTTAATTTGAAAGACTTTGTGGCCACGTCCTTAGATGTGTCCATGTTCATGAGTCCACGCCTTTGTTGTGTCCACACCCTCGTTGTGTCCACGCCCTTGTTGTGTCCACGCCCTTGTTATCTCCACACCCTCGTTGTGTCCACGCCCTTGTTGTGCCCACGCCTTTGTTGTGCCCACGTCTTTGTCGAGTCATGCTTTTGTCTGAATATTCCAGCAGTAATTCATAATGACCCATAGTCAGCCTTGTGCAATCAATGATTTGTTTTGATGTTTCCATCTCAATCCAATTACCTTCATAAATCACAGCAACAAATCATCCGTCCCATTCCGTCCTTGCTATTGTACACCTGTATTTAGATGGCATCTTGTCGTACTATGCATGCTGTACACACAGGGCATTGCCTGTCACATGAACTTTTAAGTTTGTTGTAAATATAATCTTGAGTCAAGAAAGATAACCCAACCTAACGTGTATTTCCGAAAGTTATTATTATTAATTTTTTATATTTTTTTTATTTATTTTCATTCCGCTTTTCATGTCGTGTCCACACTCGAGACTAGAGGATGCTGCCGAAGGGTTTTGTCGGCCTAGTGCTATTTATAGCTTTGTGTCTTCACGAGTGAGTAACACGTGGGGCAGACCGTACCAGCCCGGCTGTCCGGGGATCTTATACCGGGCTGTGGCTAGTGACCAGTCTTACACTTACACACATTGAACAAAGACCAATCTTTCACACATTGACCATTTACAACTCTGAGACACATTAACCAATGACCAATCTTACACACATTGATCATTTACAATTCTGACACACATTAACTAATGACTAATCGTACACAAATTGACCAGTCTTAAACACTTCGACCAATGACCAATCGTACTCACATTGACCAAAACCAGTCTTACACACATTGACCAATGCCCAATCGTACACACAGTGACCAATGACCAATCTTACACACATTGATCAATGATCAGTTTTACACACATACAATTTTATGTTGTTTAAATACCATTAACATGGACATGACCACGCCATCGCAGCTATCACGAAGAAATATATGTAATTTTAGCTTAAACTTTAGATGGTTTAAGTGACACGGTCCAATAATCTTATTACCTCACATTCAAGTAATAGACACATTTCATTTTGACTAGATTTTCTTTTCCATAAAAAAACAAATACTTGTTTTAAACTCTTGAGTCTGACGGAAACGGATCGACACGGACTCCGCGCCAGTTACTGCGCTATCGTTCACGGGAGTCATTAAGTACACAATCAAATGTTAAATGTTACAGTTTATTAAAAAAAGACTTTATTAATATTAAGAAGGGACTTTGACAAGAATGTATTGGCATGCGACTCGTCCCGACGAACCGTGGCTCAAATAGTGAAGTCGGAAAAAACAACAACAAAAAACAACACAATACCATAATTGCTTTTTAAAACTTTTTTTTTTACTGTGAGAAAAATATAAATGTTTAATACTGTAAAACCAAGTATATACCGTCATAACTTGTTTTCTCTGACAGAATCAGGCGAAGGGGCGCCGAGACGTGGAGCACTCAGACGTTGCTCTTCTTCATCTTCGTCGTCCTGCTGTGCTGCTCCATGCTCGTCAACTTCATCTTCCTCTTCAAGTCACCGCGGTACCGCAGCAAGTGCCCCCACTTCACGGCCGAGCTCTACCAGATGAACGACCTGAGGAATGAGGTGGCCGAGCTGAAGAACATGGTCACCTTCCTGGCGGAGCCGGCCATCACCGACCACAACTACACGTACCTCCTGAACCCCAAGAACGCGTGCCGGGAGCCCCTGGAGCTGCTCATCGTGGTGCCCTCCGCCCCTGGAAACTTCGCCCGTAGGATGAAGGTGAGGCAGAGCTCGAGGGCCGACTACGCCAACGACCCCAAGAACAAAGCCCGGTTGGTTTTTTTCCTCGGGAGGCAGGTCTCCGAAGGGAATGACCTCGAGACCCAGCTCAGCGTCGACGAGGAGGCGGAAAAGTACGGCGACATCGTCCAGGAGGATTTCGTCGACGTTTACAGGAACATCCGCCTGAAGGCGATGTCGATGCTGAAGTGGGCCAGCACCTACTGCCCGAGGACGCGCTTCGTCCTGAGGACCGACGACGACATCAGGACCAACATCCCGAAGACGGTGGCCGCGATGAAGAGGGCAAGCCAGCGGCTGGCCAACTTCATCCTCGGGCTCAAGGAGGAGAGCACCGTCCCCGTGAGGAGGTCGCAGGGGGTCAACTCGAAGTACTTCATCTCCTACGAGGAGTACCCGGAAGCCACGTTCCCGCCCTTCGCGTACGGCGGGCTCCTGGGGTACCCCATCTCCACGGTGAAGCTGCTGTACCAGGCGTCGCTGAGGGTGAAGCCGATTTGGCTCGACGATGTGTTTATCACGGGGCTGTGCGCCCCGAAGGTCAACGTGGCGCTCCTGAGTGACCCGGATATCGACTTTGAACATCACGCTTGGTGAACTAGGCAACAATTTTTACTTTTTAAAAGACACGGAAATAAATAAATTAAAGGTAAAGTAACTAATATTTAGTAACACCTAATTTCTATCTACTTCAAAGAGGTGACATTTCGTAATTCATACATCAACAATTAGCACTAATAATTAAGTAAACATGAAGTTATTTCAATCCAACGTTTGAATACTGCACATCGTATCGTCTCAATTCTGAGAATCGCTGAAATAATGATCCGTCAGACACTCCAAGAGACGATCCAAATAATTAAACTTCGAAAGTGTTGAAATGATAACTTACACATTTCCTATTTAGCACCAAAAAGTCACGTGTTTTTTTAACATGTCAAAAAGACTAAAAAAAACTTTTGAAAAATATATTTAAATTGCATATAGCTTTAAGTCTTGTAGGAAGGAACACGTATTCATTTGATAATGTTTTCCCTACATGACATGCTTCAATGTAATGAAATAATAAAGTATACACAATCTGATGTTGTAAGAGTTCAATTGTATTAAGCTGTCGGCGTTGTGTTTTGTCGACATCTTACCACGTCGCCGCCGCTGCCCCGCCTTTTCAGAAAAATGCAAAACAAATCGCCATAGGGATAAAAGGATCCCGGAGGCCCTCTGTCCCACTGCCAATGGCACCGGAGGCCCTCTGTCCCACTGCCAAAGGCACCCGGAGGCCCTCTGTCCCACTGCCAATGGCATCCGGAGGCCCTCTGTCCCACTGCCAATGGCACCCGCACGCCCTCTGTCCCACTGCCAATGGCACCCGCACGCCCTCTGTCCCACTGCCAATGGCACCCGGAGGCCCTCTGTCCCACTGCCAATGGCACCCGGAGGCCCTCTGTCCCACTGCCAATGGCACCGGAGGCCCTCTGGCTCACTGCCAATGGCACCCGCAGGCCCTATGCCGAAGGTACCCGTTGATATTATGGCACTGGTCGATAAAGTGACCATTTAGAAGTGTTGAAAATATCGCAGATAGGGCCATTCTTGTTAGTTCGGCAGCTCACTGGATAGATTTCACCTCACACCAAGGGCCTGTGGATAAGTTTCACCTCACACCATGGGCCTGTGGAAAAGTTTCATCTTGCACCATGGTACGGTGGATACGTTTCACCTCACACCATGGGCATGTGGATAAGTTTCCCCTCACACCCTGGGCCTGTGGATAAGTTTCACCTCACATCATGGGCCTGTGAATAAGTTTCACCTCACACCATGGGCCTGTGGATAAGTTTCACCTTACACCATGCGCCTGTGGATAAGTTTCACCTCACACCATGGGCCTGTGGATAGTTTCAGCTCACACCATGGGCCTGTGGATAAGTTTTACCTCACACCATGGGCCTGTGGATAAGTTTCACTTCACACCATGGGCCTGTGGATAAGTTTCACCTCACACCATGGGCCTGTGGATAAGTTTCACCTCACACCATGGGCCTGTGGATAAGTTTCACCTTAAACCATGGGCCTGTGGATAAGTTTCACCTCACACCATGGGCCTGTGGATAAGTTTCACCTCACACCTTGGGCCTGTGGATAAGTTTCACCTTACACCAAGGCCTGTGGATAAGTTTCATCTTGCATCATGGTACTGTGAATAAGTCTCAAATTGCACCATGGGTAATTGGATAAATTTCACTTTGCACCATCGGCCGGTTCCAGATTTATTAATTATTTTCATCTTTAATTTGTCACCCCAATATTAAATAAAAATATTTTTATTTATGCGCGTGGACAACAAGGGTTCTCAATGAAAATTTTTGGTAGATCCTCACGTACCGGGAAATCCCGGTTGCAAACTATTTAAAAACATTGCAGTGCAACCTTTTTTTTTTACACGTACGGCACACATTGATCTTTTCCGAATTCTCCGGCACACCTATATCTTTTCAGAATTCTACGGCACACCTAGATCTTTCCAGAATTCTACGGCATACCTAGATCTTTTCAGAATTCTACGGCACACCTAGATCTTTCCAGAATTCTACGGCATACCTAGATCTTTTCAGAATTTAGTCATATTTAATGAAACGTGAAAACGTGACTCTGTAGCTCAGTGTTTCTCAACGCGTGGCCCACGTTCCACAGTTGGGTTAGTTGGATTGTTAAGCGGGTCAATTCAACAATTCGATACCAACAGTCTACTGTGATTGAACTTGTGGAATGAGAATCCAAAAATGCTTGTTGTGCATTGTGTTATTCATAGGGAAACCTGGGTATTAGCTAAAAATAGTTCGCCTATTCTTAAATGAAGGACTAAATTCATTTATAAAGTGTATCAATGCTATTAAAGCTAATGCCTCTGTGAGCGTCTCTTCCAGCTATTTTGTGAGAAACACGATGTAGGCCATTTGAGACCTTGACTCCACAGTGAAGAAATGTGGCTCTCGAAAGGAAACTGCTTGGAAAGATTTGATACTCTTGGTGACATTTTTAAGTGAAATGCCTGAAATGAAGTCCCTGTTATCAGTTGATGGTAAAGCATTTGTGAGTTATTTAGCCGACATCTTTGCAAAACTAAATATATTAAATAAACAACTTCCAGGAGCAAACAAAGCTCTCGTCGAGTAGAAATCGAAGATAGTTGGTTTCCTTATGTATAATGAAATATGTCCGTATTTTTTTTCAAAGTTTCATGGGCTCAAAAAACTATGAAGCGACCTTTACCACTCTACTTGATATTGTCGATCATTAAAACATTTTGTCACCTGATTTAGAAGAAAGATTTTGTGATTTAAAAATGAAAAAACAAAAAAAACAAAACTGTAAAATGATGAGTCTGTTAAAACTTAATTTAATATAGAAGGAGCGACCGCACGGCTTTATGAGAGAAACATCAATCAAATCGCCAAATTCGAGCAGATGTGCACGACAGCTATTGTTGCCGCTTCCATCTTTATATTTAGCTGAAGTGTGCATGTAGTGCCATGTGTGCTTTGCTGCTAAAAAAAGAAATCGGTTGGATATAACACAGTGGGAAGTCGGCAGCTGTCTAAATGGGACCCTAACATAACATCTCTGAACAGCAAGCATCAAGCGCAAGTTTCTCATTAAATTCTCCTTCTTCCTAAAAACTATCTTTAATTTATTTATTTTTTTCTGTAAAAAATTTAATTTTTTGAATATTAAAATTTATGTATATATTACATTCGGGGTATAGTACGCATGAGAATTTTAGAAATGATTAGGTGGGGTCAGAGGTGTAGCGAGGGTGTTTGGCGCCCGGGGACAAGATTCGCGCCCGTGGACAAGATTCATTTTAAAGCGCCCCCTTTTTTCCAACTCACAAACCCATTATTTTTACCAATAATATAATATCAAAGCACATTTTGGCGCCCCTAACTAGCTTGCGCCCGGGGAATCTGTCCCCCCTGCCCTCCCCTCGCTACGCCTCTGGGTGGGGTATGGCACAAAAAAGGGTTGGGAAACACTGGTGCAGCTAGTGCGACAGTTACTCTACGTCATATGAAGGTTTCGAAACAAATAACTATCACGTGATGCGCTATCAAAATAGTACTGTCGAAACAGTGGCTTTGTGATCTCGAAAGAGATATCTCTCTCTTCTCCTCCTCCCCCCCCCAACACACTTATGACCTTCATAAAGTATGTCAACAAATTTCCTTGTTGTGCAGAAAGTAAAAAGCTTTGTAAAAACCCATTTCCGGTTTGAAATTGGTGTTCTGAAACCGGAAACCGGGTTTGTCAAGCAATCCGTTATTAACAACCACAGTTACAAACAACCCTGCTCGATAGAGAATTGAGAATTTAACGCACATTGTTTGACCTCTGCCCCGGAGACTATAAAAGCACGTGGTTCATGTGGACTGGAACAACCTGGACTACCTTCAAGGAAACGGCAATCGAGATTTAAGCCAGAATCTATTATTTATAGAGTTATTCTTCATTCATAAATTTATTATTTATAGGTTTAATAATGATAGATTTTTTATTAATAGATGTATTATCTGTTACGCCATTTTTACATGTGTTCACGTCTAAACCATCCAATGAAATGGAGGCTCCCTCCTCCCCCCCCCCCTTTTTCCTCACAACGTCATGACGTAGCCGTCTTATCTTTAGCAGCTCCCTAGAGCAGACCATCTGGAACTGTTGCTCTGAGTCACGGGGCTCTAATCGGGGCATCGAAAGCAAGCGCTGGGTTTCACTTGTGGGCGTGGAAGCCCATTTCTGCAGGATTCCCGCCCCATTTAGGCCAAGGGACAAATGTAATGAATCCGAGCGTATCCCGTGGCGTGCTCCGGATGTCGGAAGAGATGACCTATCTTATCTGGCTGGCGTGTTTGTGTTGCTTTTGTCACAAGCCTAGTTAGATCTGAAGTGCGTAGCATTTTTTTTTCTCTTCAATAGTGTTTCGTTGACGCTATTGAAATGCCGTATGGTTAAACCGTTACTAAAGCCTGTGAAGATGAATGGCGGGAACCATGGAGGAACCCCCCCCCCCCGCCGCCGCCCGCGTACATTTCGAGATTTGAATTTTTTATTTACCTTTTTTTCTTGTTCATTTTTTTTCTCTTCAATATTGTTTCGTTGACGCTATTGAAATGCCGTATGGTTAAACCGTTACTAAAGCCTGTGAAGAGGAATGGCGGGAACCATGGAGGAACCCCCCCCCCCCGCCGCCGCCCGCGTACATTTCGAGATTTGAATTTTTTATTTACCTTTTTTTCTTGTTCAGTGATTGTAACTTTCGTTTGGATACAAAAATGCTCTACGCTATTCAAGGATTAACAGACGGACAACAGTGAAATAAAAAAAAAAATTCTATTACATTCTGGCAGGATAATTTCATATGGCGGGTCTTAGAAAAATCTGCCCCACACCAAAGCAGTGTTGGAGAGTGTAGCGTACTTCTCCATTGCAGCCCGACATATCAACTCGAACGTGCTACCTGTCGCTACGTCCACCTGTCTCTTCTTTACATCGTGCTACACAATGCGATATTGACTTGAGAAATCAAATTGATGGCCATGCCGTAATGTATTTATATCACTTTTTGGGAATAATTGATTTCTTTTTATGTAAAAACGTGTGGCATAAAAAGGAATTTTATTTCGTTCAAACTTATCAGAGAAAAAAAGATCTCAGGGGTTGTTTATTTCAGCTTGTGAAAAATAGGAGATTATTTTGTTCAAACTTTATTAAGAACAGGATATTATTTTGTTTAAACTTGTGAGAAAAAGGATGATACTATAATCAAACTTTGAGAAAGGTGGATACTATTTTATTCAAACTTGTGAAAAAACAAGAACAGGATATTATTTTGTTCAAACTTGTGACATAAAGGATGTTACTAAAATCAAACTTTGAGAAAAGTGGATACTATTTTATTCAAACTTGTGAAAAAACAAGAACAGGATATTATTTTGTTCAAACTTGTGACATAAAGGATGTTACTAAAATCAAACTTTGAGAAAGGTGGATACTATTTTATTCAAACTTGTGAAAAAACAAGAACAGGATATTATTTTGTTCAAACTTGTGACATAAAGGATGTTACTAAAATCAAACTTTGAGAAAAGTGGATACTATTTTGTTCAAACTTGTGAGAAAACAGGAACATGATATTACTTTGTTCAAACTTGTGAGAAAACAGGAACATGATATTATTTTGTTCAGACTTGTGAGAAAACAGGAACATGATACTATTTTGTTCAAACTTGTGAGAAAACAGGAACATGATATTATTTTGTTCAAACTTGTGAGAAAACAGGAACATGATAGTATTTTGTTCAAACTTGTGAGAAAACAGGAACAGGATACTATTTTGTTCAAACTTGTGAGAAAACAGGAACATGATACTATTTTGTTCAAACTTGTGAGAAAACAGGAACAGGATACTATTTTGTTCAAACTTGTGAGAAAACAGGAACATGATAATATTTTGTTCAAACTTGTGAGAAAACAGGAACATGATAATATTTTGTTCAAACTTGTGAGAAAACAGGAACATGATACTATTATGTTCAAACTTGTGAGAAAACAGGAACATGATACTATTTTGTTCAAACTTGTGAGAAAACAGGAACATGATACTATTTTGTTCAAACTTGTGATAAAACAGGAACATGATACTATTTTGTTCAAACTTGTGAGAAAACAGGAACATGATACTATTTTGTTCAAACTTGTGATAAAACAGGAACATGATACTATTTTGTTCAAACTTGTGAGAAAACAGGAACATGATAATATTTTGTTCAGACTTGTGAGAAAACAGGAACATGATACTATTTTGTTCAAACTTGTGAGAAAACAGGAACATGATATTATTTTGTTCAAACTTGTGAGAAAACAGGAACATGATAGTATTTTGTTCAAACTTGTGAGAAAACAGGAACAGGATACTATTTTGTTCAAACTTGTGAGAAAACAGGAACAGGATACTATTTCGTTCAAACTTGTGAGAAAACAGGAACATGATAATATTTTGTTCAAACTTGTGAGAAAACAGGAACATGATAATATTTTGTTCAAACTTGTGAGAAAACAGGAACATGATACTATTTTGTTCAAACTTGTGAGAAAACAGGAACATGATACTATTTTGTTCAAACTTGTGAGAAAACAGGAACATGATACTATTTTGTTCAAACTTGTGATAAAACAGGAACATGATACTATTTTGTTTAAACTTGTGAGAAAACAGGAACAGGATACTATTTTGTTCCAACTTCTGAGAAAACAGGAACATGATACTATTTTGTTCAAACTTGTGAGAAAACAGGAACATGATAATGTTTTGTTCAAACTTTTGAGAAAACAGGAACATGATATTATTTTGTTCAAACTTGTGAGAAAACAGGAACATGATTTTATTTTGTTCAAACTTGTGAGAAAACAGGAACATGATACTATTTTGTTCAAACTTGTGAGAAAACAGGAACATGATATTATTTTGTTCAGACTTGTGAGAAAACAGGAACATGATATTATTTTGTTCAGAATTTAAAAAAAAAATAAATAAAGAGGATATAACTTTGATGAACTTTTCCGGACAGGTGACGCAATACGCCCACTCCCCCAAAAGTGAACCATGTCTCTCGTGACTCCAACCTTTGGACAAAGTCACTAGTGCAACTGCGTTATCCCAATATTCCAGTCGAGTTGGTATTATTTCAGCAGTCCTCTTGCCCATGGGAAGACTGTGTTCGAGATTATGCTCATATGTTTATCAGAGCAGCTAAGCCGCAAGTAAATCCCATTCAAACGTAACTTAGCTATCACCGCGTGATCGGCGAGAGGCTCTACTTATATATTCTTTATCCGCACTAACTTTATAATACAAAAACTGGCATCCTGATAAGATTGATTGTATTTTGCCATGAAAAGACTTGTAAAGGTACCAGTGAAAATGCAAATTAAAAACAACAACAACAAAAAAAAACAATTGTCTTTCGGATTGCCCGTCCCCCGATTCCTATGATTGGATAACACGACATATGATTTTGAGATATTCAATTATTTAATGATGAAAAAAAAACAACAACAACAAAAACAACCTTGAAAATAAATTAAATATTTATTCCTTGGTTGAGAAGTTATAAAGAAAGAACTAAACAAAACACAGCCTGTTTTGAGCATTTGCCAACAATGGCAGCGATGAAACCGCTTTTCAAAGTCGTCGTAGTCTTTGGGACAGTCACGTCCGTCCTGACAGTCATCTTGACTCTACTCTACAACAGGACCGGAATCTACCCCGTGCACTACAAGGTCAGCAACAGGCCTTTTACCTTTAGCGAAGACGCCAACAGACCACCCGGCACCAGTCTGAGATCCGATTTCAACACTCTGCTCAGACGATATTCCGAACGTCCAGGACTGCGGGAATTCCAGCCCGAGGACGCGCCCGATAAATACAGCAACAGTCTCTTAGCTATAGAGGTGCGCAACAATCGTCACGAAAAAACGACGGTGGATCCAAAATTGAACAATGCCGTGGAAGCGTTGCTGGCTCAGCCGATAATAAACGACCACAACTTCGAGTACATTCACAATCCAAGAAACGCGTGCTCAAACTCACCGACGGACGTGTTGGTCACCGTGCCGTCGGCTCCCGGAAACTGGGAGAAGAGGATGAAAGTGAGGAACAGCAGCAGGGGGGATTACGTCAGGGACCAGGGCAACAGGGCGAGGCTGCTGTTCTTCGTCGGAAAAGGGAATTCCAGCGAGCAGGATCGAATCGACGAAGAAGTCGCGCGGTTCGGGGACATCGTCCAGGAGACGTTCGACGACGTCTACAAGAATATTCGATTAAAAGCAGTATCGATGCTGAAATGGACCAGCGCCTTCTGCCAGGGTGCCGACTTCGTGATACGCGCCGACGATGACGTTAAGATCAACCTCATGGGGCTGGTCGCCGTGTTGAAGCGAACGGCCCTGCGGCACGAACACTTTATCCTCGGACGCGTGAAGGTCGAGGACGACCCGGCGCGTGATCCCAACAGCAAGTACTTTTTATCACGCGCCGAGTACCCCCGTAGGAAGCTCCCGAGGTACGCTCTCGGCGGCCTGCTCGGGTACCCTGTCAGAACGGTGACCTTGTTGTACCAGGCCGCGCTGAGGACTAAACCCGTCTGGCTGGACGATGTGTTCATCACGGGGATCTGCGCCCCGAAGGTAGGCGTGGAGCTCTTGAGCGATCCAAGTTTTGACTTCACGCACAAGGAGTGGTGACGTGATATTTTTCGCGGCTTCATTCAATGTAAAAATAAGAATACACATTCTTTTGCATTTGCTGTTCATAAATTCTTTTTTTTTCTTTTCTTTTTTTTTTAAAGATTTAAAGAGTTGGACCAAAATGTCGAAAATTCTTCTTCATATAACAATACAAGGAACTATTAATTTTCGTAATGACTTGACACACTCGTTTAGTGTTTTTCAACCTTTTGATTGGAATGCACTACCCCATGCAGTGGCACAAGAGTTTGATCTATTCCAATTATTATTGTTTATTAGTATACAAACTGGATAGGATCTAGTTGGAGAATATATTAATAACAAGAATTGGTACGTCGACTCCACACGGGATAAACCTAGTCCACAATTTTACGTAACTGCCATGTCTTACTCAAGTTTGTTTGTTTGTTTGTTTGTTTTTTTTTTGACAGTTTACTTCAAATCACTTCTTTTCCTTTCTTCTGTACTTTGTTTCCGTCTAGATTTGCGCCTACTCCTATTTTTTAAATCTTTTTTTAGATAGGGTATATGTATATACATATTATGTAAATTTAATTTATACTTCTTTAAATGTTATGTTTGTTATACTGATGAAGGCATGTGCTGAAGCGTTTTCTGTGTAATATGTAATAGTATTATGAAAGGTTAACATATATTGTTGTATCGACACAAAGTGTTCGTGTCTAATTAATACATTCTTATTGAAATGACATGTACATTTTATGGGTCCGATCCAGTCTGGATGTTTAAAACCATTTATGGATCATTGAAAAAAAAAATTCAAAATAAATTTTACGTGATTTAAATATATAAAAATTGAAATATGATTAGTGATAAGCGCGAAATAAATGACAGCTAAATAAAAATGCAAAGTTATAAAAATAATTATTTACTGGCAGCAAATATTGTGTAATTATGTTGTCTTACCACATTGCATTTCTGTGTTTATGACATTGGGTGGTCAGATTGACAACCCGGCCCGGCTCGGGTTTAACTCACTGAACTGTGGGTAGTGTATTCAACATTGGTGTGCCCTGTAAGACTAATGTGCCTCTAAATGATGGTGTGACAGGCAACAGTAATGTGCCTCTAAATGATGGTGTGACAGGCAACAGTAATGTGCCTCTAAATAATGGTGTGCCAGGCAACAGTGATGTGCCTCTAAATGATGGTGTGCCAGGCAACAGTGATGTGCCTCTAAATGATGGTGTGTCAGGCAACAGTAATGTGCCTCTAAATGATGGTGTGTCAGGCAACAGTAATGTGCCTCTAAATGATGGTGTGACAGGCAACAGTAATGTGCCTCTAAATGATGGTGTGTCAGGCAACAGTAATGTGCCTTTAAATGATGGTGTGTCAGGAAACAGTAATGTGCCTCTAAAGCCTTGTTTACGACTGATGGGGTCTTTTTTAATGCTAACTTAGTAAGCATGTACCTGACACTGTTAATGTTAAGCTAGTATGCAGTATGTATATACCTGACGGTGTTAACGTGACGCTTGTATGCAGTATGTATATACCTGACGGTGTTAACGTGACGCTGGTATGCAGTATGTATATACATGACGGTGTTAATGTGACGCTGGTATGCAGTATGTATATACCTGACGGTGTTAATGTGACGCTGGTATGCAGTATGTATATACCTGACGGTGTTAACGTGACGCTGGTATGCAGTATGTATATACCTGACGGTGTTAACGTGACGCTGGTATGCAGTATGTATATACCTGACGGTGTTAACGTGACGCTGGTATGCAGTATGTATATACCTGACGGTGTTAACGTGACGCTGGTATGCAGTATGTATATACCTGACGGTGTTAATGTGACGCTGGTATGCAGTATGTATATACCTGACGGTGTTAATGTGACGCTGGTATGCAGTATGTATATACTACCCAGCCAGAAACACACGAACGAAAGCAACGTTAATATAAAGGATTTAACAATGAACACATATAACGGCTTTTATAACAAACACGTAATGAAATTTTGATTGGCACATCCTGCTCTATAACTTACAATACTAATACTAAAAATAATAAATAATAATATTAATGTAATATTAACAATAAAAATAACAATAGTAATAATAATAATAATATTAGTAAAATAAATAAATACATAAATAAATAATAATAATAGTAATAATAATAATAATAGTAATAATAATAGTAATAATAATAGTAATAATAATAACAATAATAAAAATAAAAATACTATTACTACTACTACTAGTACTAATAATAATAATAATAATAATAATAATAATAATCAGCATGAAGTTATTGTGGACATTGTCATGATATCACTAAAACTGGTGCTTCTCGCTATAGAAAGAAAGTTAACGTCTTCCTATGTCTTCCTTAACCGTGATAAGTTGGTAAAAACCATGAACAGAATTCTGCATACTGTGACCCAGTGTTGGGACCGCTCTTTGGGACTTGTGTTTGAACCAACGACAGATAAGGAGTCTAATACATAATTTCTTTAAAAAAAAAAAAAGAAAAAGATAAGCAGCTGTTATTCAAGTACACGACGTTATTTATTTCTCATAAAAGTTTTTTTCTCGTTCTTTAATAGAAGAAAAAAAATCAGCTCCTAAATGCTTCACGTGGCCTGAAGACTCAGCTGAAAAGAAAGCCACGCCCACTGAAAACTCAGCTGAAAAGAAAGCCACGCCAACTGAAGACTCAGCTGAAAAGGAAGCCTCGCACACCACCGCCATTGCGATTTATTTTGAACGACCCGTCCAGGAGGAAGGGAATGTTCAACGCGGACGAGTAGCTCTCCACGTGACGGATGCTGCTACCGTGCGTCTCGTCCAGCCTGATCCCGGCCTGAAGCAGGATCGGCACCGTGCTCCGAGTGTACCCCAGCACCTTATTCGCGGTCCCTGTCCCGGAACCGGGCTTCTGCGGCTTCGCGCCCGCCATGACGAAGTGGTCGAGCTCCTCGCTGGCCAGCCGCATCGCCTTGAGCATGTCGAAGACGTCATTGGTCCACTTGTCGGCGGGGGAGATCGCCTGCTCGTGGAGCTGAATGATGAAGTGGTACCGCCAGCAGTAGTCCCGCAGCCACCTGAGCATCGACAGCGTTTTCATTGCTGTATCCGCGTCGTCGTAACTTCCCTGGACGATGTCCTTATAGGTGCTCGTCTCTCGCCTGATCGCTTCCTTGAAATCGATAGAGGCTTTGGGAGTCTTCCCGACAAAGAACACCACGCGCAAACTCCCTCGATACTTTTTATTGCCCTTAGTGGCGGTGCCACCTCCGGTTTTCTTGGCCTGCACCCGTTCCCTGATTAGATTCCGTAGCCAGCCGTGCCCGAGCATCGACTCCACGACGATCACTGGACCCGGCGTCTTGACGAAGCAGTTTAAGGACACCGACGACTCCAGGAACGTGGCGTTCAAAGTCTGGATGACGGGCTTGAACAAGAAAAACACGGTGGACCTCAACTGGGCGAGCTCGAACTCCTTCTTCTCCATCTCGGCCTTAATGGCCTTGTCCCCGAGTCTCGCGGCGTGGGAAGTGGTAGTCCAGGCGGGCGTCTCAGAAGAATGGGAGAGCATTAGTTTGATGTTCAGCGCCAGGGAAACGGTCAAGATGGCCAGCAGAGGGTAGAGCAGGAGCACCTGCCTGCGTGAGCAGTCACTTTTCATTGGGCTGCTTGGTTTCCGTCTCGTGTGGTTATAGTTACCAGTAGGCGGGGTGAAGGGACCTGAAAGATAATGCTTGTTAATTAGATCAGGTGTTCTTAAAACTTTATTTTAACGCAGTGTCACTCCCCTGCCGTTTAGTTTCAAAAACTTTTCCCAAAAGTCCTTTTCGATTTTAACACCTACAACAGCAACCAAAATGCTGATAATGATGCAAATAAACCAGATTTTCTGAATATTTCGAAACCCCTGACACTCCAATGGTATGTGAACAACTCTGACACTCCAACTGTATGTGAACACCTCTGACACTCCAATGGTATGTGAACACCTCTGACACTCCAATGGTATGTGAACACCCCTGACACTCCTATGGTATGTGAACACCTCTGAAACTCCAATTGGTATGTGAACACCCCTGATACTCCAATGGTATGTGAACACCCCTGACACTCCAATAGTATGTGAAAACCCCTGACACTGCAATGGGGTGCTGGATTAAGAATCCCTAAAGTAGTTAAGAAAAGCACATAAAGTAACTATATATATATATTAATAGGTATGTATTTGAAAGTTGTTGTGTCTCATGTTTTATTACAAAACTTATCGTCAAAGGAAAGAGAGAAACACACACAAAAAACTTTAAGTCTGTATGTCTATGTATATGTATATGATGAAACATGAAAAGAGTAAATTGTGTGTATGTAAATTGTGGGTGGGGTTGTAGGCAAAGGTTAACCATGCCATCCATCAAAGGTAACAAAAACCGTCTGAAGTTTCACAAAAATGCCGATGCCTAAATAAGTGCTTCTTGTCAGACAATATATTCCGGGAGGGGGGGGGGAGGGGAGGGGGTGGGGGGGGTGAGGTAGAGCGTTTCGGATGATCCGGTGGGCACTGCCAGTGGCCAGAGTCGAATCCAAGGGAGGGGGTAAAGGGTGCAGATGTATCCCTCGCATCAGATTGGAGGGGGCGCCGAAATTTGAGTTGTTGGTATTATATTATGGATGAAAATAATGGATTTCAGAGTTGAACAAGTAAGGGCGTAAAAGAAAAGGAACTTTGTCCCCTGGTGCCCCTGCAGTGGCGTAGAAAGGGGGGTGGGGAGAGGAAGTGGCGGATAGGGTGGTCCACCAAGATGTCACCTTTTTTTTTTTCCTTTATTTTGAGGAGTGACATTTTTGGGGCCACCACAGCGTTTGTTTTGTGTCAGGGGGCGGTGCAAAAATTTTCGGGGAGTGGTTTGGAGATTTTAAAAATTACTTTAAAATCAAGAAAAATTGTGTGTGGGTGGGGGGGGCGCGGGAGTTGGAGATTTTGTAGTATATTTAAAATCAATTTTTCTATTAGACTTTTTGATCGGGTCATGGAATCTTTTAAGCGTCGAAAGGGGGAGACTATATGTCGCCCACATTCCGTACATAAACTGCATTTCACTCCGGCTTTGGCGTGCCCAAGGATAATCAGTTGGCACAAGGTTACCTTTGACCCCATACTGTCACAATGATGCACGTGAGTTGATCGGGGTTGGGGGGGGGGGTGTAGAAATTGTGGGCACCGAAGACTTTCGGGCAAAATTTTGGCGTATACTTGATTTCAAAGTTTCCTTCAGAAAATTTAATGTGGGGCATTTCAGACTTTCCGGTCGGGAGCTCCAAAATTAGCCATTGCCAGGGACATCTCTAACATCACCGCCCCAGCTCAACATGAACTAAATTCGTTTCAGTTGTGTTGCCAAGTTGGTCCGAGTTTTTACCAGAGTCAAAAAAAGATATAAAAACACGTTTCTTAGAAAGGTCTATACATTTTTATGGATTTTCAAAACTGGTCATTTTTACAAACCGTATATGAATGGCATAATTATGTTAAGAATACATGCGTCGTCTACAAAAGACATCATATAATTTATTAATGTGTTTTTTTTTTATATCAGTGAAATCGTATACAACTAAAGCAAAAATTCCCCAACATTCAGTTGATTAAAATGTTTATTTTGAGTTTCAAACTATTATTAATTGCTTCAGATCAATAACGTTTGCCTGTTCGATATATTTTAACACGTTAAAGTAGTTTGAAGTTCCAGAGAAACATTTCAAACTTACAAACACAGTCCAACACAAGCTGTACTCGCCTTTTTTTATAATTTGAGAATGTTCAGCTATTTACTTAGATTCAAAACACCAAATTCAAATTTCGTATTCGGTAACGAGTACAAAGACAATAACTTCAGCCATATTGATGATTCAAATACTTTAGCAGTTGCGTCCCTTCGTAGGCGTGACGTTTTACCCCGCAACACTAACTATAAATAACACAACATAGTTTAATGACGTCACTTTTAAAAATAATAAAGGGTTTTACATTGCCATGCATTTGTCGGACGCCTTGACTTTTGAGCCTGATGTAATATTATTGTCACGATTATGTCTCTTTTGCTAATATCTTTACGTACAGCGGGGTGAGCCCAGCCCTAGGCTAGAGTACCGCGCTATATAAGACCACTCATAATAAAAAATAATAGTAATCATAATTTTCTCTGCTAAAGTTCTCACCCCCCGCAGATGTAGTACACCAACTAATCCCATAAATTAGTGCTCATGAGAATAACTGTTTTTCGATGGAGCGAGACAGCTATCAAGATGTACATAAGCAACATAGCAGCATCCCAAAGGTTGTGGTAGTTTGGAGGATAGGCAACGTATCGGCCAAAAGCTTTCCTCGCAATAGAGACAACTGCAGGTGAAAATTAAATATGCCATTTCTTTTACATCTCACTTAAAATACCACATTCATTTTGGCATTTTAATTCAAACATGACGTTACTTTTATATTCTACTTCAAATGTGACATTTCGTTGTGAACTAGATTTGGTAGCGTGTCGTTTTGGTGTGAAAAGTTGTTCATGGATGGTGAACGTTTGTATGAGAATCCCAGTTTCTGTTCATTTAACACTTTTTGGTCCATGAGTTAGGTCATTAAATTGTATTATTGTGGCTAAATGGTGATTGGATGAGATAGAAATATTAATAAACGAGTGGGGGAGGGGGGGGAATACAAGGCGTGAACTGATGTGTTGATAGGAGTTGAGCTGATGTGTTGATAGGAGTTGAGCTGATGTGTTGATAGGAGTTGAGCTGATGTGTTGATAGGAGTTGAGCTGATGTGTTGATAGGAGTTGAGCTGATGTGTTGATAGGAGTTGAGCTGATGTGTTGATAGGAGTTGAGCTGATGTGTTGATAGGAGTTGAGCTGATGTGTTGATAGGAGTTGAGCTGATGTGTTGATAGGAGTTGAGCTGATGTGTTGATAGGAGTTGAGCTGATGTGTTGATAGGAGTTGAGCTGATGTGTTGATAGGAGTTGAGCTGATGTGTTGATAGGAGTTGAGCTGATGTGTTGATAGGAGTTGAGCTGATGTGTTGATAGGAGTTGAGCTGATGTGTTGATAGGAGTTGAGCTGATGTGTTGATAGGAGTTGAGCTGATGTGTTGATAGGAGTTGAGCTGATGTGTTGATAGGAGTTGAGCTGATGTGTTGATAGGAGTTGAGCTGATGTGTTGATAGGAGTTGAGCTGATGTGTTGATAGGAGTTGAGCTGATGTGTTGATAGGAGTTGAGCTGATGTGTTGATAGGAGTTGAGCTGATGTGTTGATAGGAGTTGAGCTGATGTGTTGATAGGAGTTGAGCTGATGTGTTGATAGGAGTTGAGCTGATGTGTTGATAGGAGTTGAGCTGATGTGTTGATAGGAGTTGAGCTGATGTGTTGATAGGAGTTGAGCTGATGTGTTGATAGGAGTTGAGCTGATGTGTTGATAGGAGTTGAGCTGATGTGTTGATAGGAGTTGAGCTGATGTGTTGATAGGAGTTGAGCTGATGTGTTGATAGGAGTTGAGCTGATGTGTTGATAGGAGTTGAGCTGATGTGTTGATAGGAGTTGAGCTGATGTGTTGATAGGAGTTGAGCTGATGTGTTGATAGGAGTTGAGCTGATGTGTTGATAGGAGTTGAGCTGATGTGTTGATAGGAGTTGAGCTGATGTGTTGATAGGAGTTGAGCTGATGTGTTGATAGGAGTTGAGCTGATGTGTTGATAGGAGTTGAGCTGATGTGTTGATAGGAGTTGAGCTGATGTGTTGATAGGAGTTGAGCTGATGTGTTGATAGGAGTTGAGCTGATGAGTTGATAGGAGTTGAGCTGATGTGTTGATAGGAGTTGAGCTGATGAGTTGATAGGAGTTGAGTTGATGTGTTGATAGGAGTTGACCTGATGTGCTGATAGGAGTTGAGCTGATGTGTTGATAGGAGTTGAGCTGATGTGTTGATAGGAGTTGAGCTGATGTGTTGATAGGAGTTGAGCTGATGTGTTGATAGGAGTTGAGCTAATGTGTTGATAGGAGTTGAGCTGATGTGTTGATATTAGTTGAGCTGATGAGTTGATAGGAGTTGAGTTGATGAGTTGATAGGACAACTCCTAGGACAGCTGATGTGTCGGAATCCAGAGTAGAGTCGAGAGATATAGCAATTTTTGTTAGATTCACTGTATGGCTCGTTGCCTGAGGATTGCATTCTTCTGCTGGATGAATTGTTTAGCAACTGTGTTTGTAACAAGTGGAAGTTTCAGTACATGTACATGATTACACATTTAAAATGGACTTGTCGGTGTTTGAGTTGCTTGACCGAGCGAGAAAGAGAGACAAGAATGAACCATACAGGTCTGGCATATGGTTAGACATCGAGTAGTCACGATCGGAGATTGTAACCCCGAGACAATGGGAGAAGGCCGTAACAAATTACTTCCATACTTTACTTTAAATGTGACATTACTTTAGTATTTCACTTCGAATGTGATTTTACTTTAGTATTTTACTTCAACTATGCCACTACTTTTATATTTTACTAAAAAATGTGACTTTACTTATACAGTTTACTTCAAATATGACATTACTTTTATATTTTACTTCAAATATGACTTTACTCTTACATTTCACTTCAAATTTGACATTACTTTTATATTTACCTCAAATATAACATTGCTTTTATATTTTACCTCAAATTTAACATTACTTTTATATTTTACCTCAAATGTAATATTACTTTTATATTTTACCTCAAATACAGCATTACTTTTATATTTTACCTCAAATGTAATATTACTTTTATATTTTACCTCAAATACAGCATTACTTTTATATTTTACCTCAAATGTAATATTACTTTTATATTTTACCTCAAATATAAAATTACCTTTATATTTTATCTCAAATACAGCTTCACTTTTATATTTTACCTCAAATATGACGTTACTTTTATGTTTTACTTTTTCTTTTATAGCATCTACAAGTAGTGTGTTGCCCCCCCCCCCCCAACCCACCCCCAGCTTTCCACTAAGGGTGGTTCATGACTGGCACCGGGCCGTGTGCATTAGGTACCCGGGCCGCACAACATGAACACCGCTGGTCCAATAATAATAAATTATGCATTAATAATTCTGGCAATTGCCCCCCCCCCCCAACCCCCCCCCAGCGTTCCACTAAGGGTGGTTCATGACTGGCACCGGGCCGTGTGCATTAGGTACCCGGTCCGCACAACATGAACACCGCTGGTCAAATAATAATAAATTATGCATTAATAATTCTGGCAAGGGTCCCGGATGCAGCTTCGGAACTTGTCTACCGGACCGAAAAACTAAAAATTGTTTGAAGCGCTGATATGAAGCAGTCAGGGGCATGCAAACCTGAAAGTAAAAAAACAAATCTGGTCTGAAATTGAACAGTTTTAAATGTACCGATGATTGAACGTCTGCCGAAGAATCCGTCTAGCCACAACGTCCGCTTCATTGTATTGTCTTTTAATTTCCAGCACAAACACATCTTTGACAAGGCCGACATAAAAAATGAACTTTCGCAAACGTCTCTGACAGTTTCCCCCCACCCTTTTGAAAATAAGCATTCGTTGATACATTTTGAAATTTGAATGCTGGATAAGAATTTTCATTTCTATTTTTAGAATTGATAGTGGATGAGGCAGGAATGATCACGGCGGAGAGCCTCATTAAAAGGGGAATCTGATTTAGGAATTCCATAGTCGGTACAAAATAGTTTCATAAGATGACCAAGAAATATGGAGTCGTAAACTCAGAAGTACAAGAAAAATAGCACAGTTCATCCTGCTCTCCTGTCCACTTGGCCGGTGGTCCATGTGTTGGTCAGAGTACCCACGTACTGTTGAAGACACCCGTGCATTGTAAAGGGTGCCCGTAGATTGATCAGGGTGTCCACGTGCTGGACCCATTGTTCAGGTTTTCGTCTGATAGACGGTGTGTTGGGCAGGGTGACCATATAATTAATTGGTCGAGGGAGGGATTTAGTTTTGGTCAGGGTGTTCCCTGCCGTAGTCAGGACCAATGCATTGGTTAGATTGGCAGGATTTTTTTTTTTTTTTGGCAATGGTAGGGGGAATTAAAGGATGTTAAAACATGATATTCAACAATAACATATTCCATGATCCGTTTCTCGAAGGTTCTAATTCCGTTAATAAAAGGCCCTGCTGTCCAGCACTGAGACGTTCACTTTACGCGCACAGACGCCGGTGAAGAACACGCCAGCTGTTGTCATAGGGCTCGTCCTCAAGGCCGCCTGGTACAGCAACCTCATCGTGCTGACTGGGTGCGCGATGACGCCCAGATGGAGGTGGCTGGGAATTGTCGCATTGGGATGTTCCCGCTCAGAGGCGTACTCTTTTCGGCTTCGCCCGCCCCTCACTTTTCGTCCAAGGATGAACTCGTTGAAATCCCGTTCCGCATATTTGAGAGCTGCCACGACATTCTTTAGGTCCACAGTGACGTCATCTCGAGCGATAATGACGTATTTCGCCTGGGAACAAAATTTGCTTGCCCAGTTGTAAAAAAACATAATTTTCAGTGCGTCATTTCGGTGTGAATCTTCCACATTCGCCTGCAAAATATCGTCATAATTTTCCAACTCCACCTTCATCTTCAGACGAATTTTAGAACCACTGCTTTGATCTTTAGGCACACCAATAATATATACCAATTTCATATTGTTTACAGCACCCCTAATATAATTCCCGAATGACGCATTCCTAAAAAATTCTCTTTTGTGGAAATGTTCAACGACAGATGCCACGGCAACAATGACTTCCTGTCTTGCGTCGCCGCAATAATTTCTTGGAGCGCGAAGTACGTCCGGGATGTTCCCGTTAACGACTGGCCCCGATAAAAATGAAACGATCGATCTCTGCGTGTCGATCTCGCGAGCTAAGATGGCGTTGGATTTCACGGCGGCCGCTAGAACGCTCTCGCAGGTCTGAATCATAGAAACTTTTTCCTGAAATTTCGACGAGGCGGTGTTGGACATCACGTGTTCCTTGTGGAGGCCAATCACGTAATTCATGCATTTAGGGGCTGAGTTGGCGAGAGCCAGTGGCTCGCCGTGCTCGAACGCTCTCAGACGACGCTGTGTCAGTTTCGAACTGCTGTGACGGCGGGAACCCGGCTCTGTGTAGAAAAGGATCCCGAGGTTGACGACAGTGGAGATGGCGAAGAATGTGGCCGCGCACCACACCCACCTGAAGGTTGGTCTACCCATGGCTTGATTGGTCAGCTCTTGTCGTGGCTTGATGGGTGTTAAGTGTCATCATGTCTTGATTGGTCAATTCTTGTCATGCCGTGATTGGTCAATTCTTGTCAAGGCGGGATCGGTCCGTTCTTGTCATCTGGTGACATTCGATTCTTTAATGAGAACTTTGTTCTCTTTTTGGCTTGGATTTCGCATAACATGAACGTGAAATAATGGATTCAAAGCTTGACCTTGATACTTGTCCAAAAAAAAAAAAAAAAAGAAGTATTATAAATGGAACACAAACACCGAATATTTGAATAGCAAGCCAATGATTCAATCAACATCCTTACTTCTTTAATGAGAACTTTGTTCTCTTTTTGGCTTGGATTTCGCATAACATGAACGTGAAATAATGGATTCAAAGCTTGACCTTGATACTTGTCCAAAAAAAAAAAAAAAAAAAAAAAATTAAAAAAAAAAAAAAAAAAACAAATAATAAAAAAAAAAAAAAAAAAGAAGTATTATAAATGGAACACAAACACCGAATATTTGAATAGCAAGCCAATGATTCAATCAACATCCTTACTGAATACAACTACCCAACAAAATACTTGTTAAAAATAAGTGATACAAAATATGTGGACAAAGGTTTAACAAAATTATAAATTAGAAAAACTATATGTATAAACTAAAACTGTCTTGAAACTTGTTGAACAAAACCCTTACAAAAAGTTACATCATTTCTTGTACAATTAGAGTTACATTTACTGTCTCTATTTATTCTTCCCTTACTTCTTCGCATTGCTAAAACTAAAATATCTTAATTTACACATCACAACTCAATAAATGAACACATAAGATAAAACAAACTTTACAACTAACAAAAAGAAACGACTTAGCACATTATACATGGACATTGACATATCACTCTAAACACGGATTTTGATAGCGCACTATACATGGACCTTGGCATATCACCCTATACATAGAACTTGACATATCACCCTACACATGATGGACCTTGACATAACATCCTATACATGGGCCTTGACATCCTATACATGGGCCTTGACATAATAATAATAATAATAAGTGGTCTTATATAGCGCGGTACCCCGGCCTAGGGCTGGGCTCAACGCGCTGTACATATATAGCAAAGAGGCATAATCATAATATTAAAATAAAATACTTAAATGAAATAAAAACAACATATAAGCAAAACAACACCAGAGGTATATTCATCCACCCACACCAGACATGTTTACAAGGAAACCCATGTACGTTTATCGGTTTACAGGAGGAGAATCAGTCAGGGTAGTATAGTTTAAATAGATGTGTTTTGAGTGCTGTTTTGAAGGCATGTGTGGTTGTTATATTGCGGATGTGTAGTGGCAAAGAATTCCATTGTTTGGGGGCGCAGAAAGAGAAAGATCGTTCACCATATAATTTAGTGCGTGTCTTGGGAACGGACAGAATACGCGAGTCTGCGGAGGAGCGAAGTTGTCGAAGGGGTGAATAGACAGAAAGAAGTTCAGTTAGATAGGAAGGGCAGGAATCCGAGAAAAAGTTGTGACAGAGAAGAGACAGCTTGTAGTCAATGCGTGCCTGTATAGGGAGCCAATGTAGTGAGTGGAGTAGTGGAGTGACGTGATCATGTTTTTTTGCCTTAAGAACAAGCCTAGCAGCAGAGTTTTGAACTTTCTGCAGTTTTTCTATAAAATGTTTCGGTGAACCTGACAGAAGTGAGTTGCAATAGTCAAGACGAGAGAGAACAAGAGCACAGACTAGAGTTTTTGTTGCGCTAACTGTCAGGTAGTGGCGGATGGAGCTGATCTGACGGATGGCGGTGTATGCCGAACGACAAATGTGAGAGATATGTTTATCGAGAGACATGTTGTTAGAAAGAATATAACCAAGATTCCTAGCAGAGGGTGTAAACTGTATGTCGGAGTTACCTACTTGAAATGAGGTGGGAAGAGTTGAGGTAGAGGATGATTTGTGATTGTAAATGAGGAGTGCTTCTGTTTTGTCATCATTAAGCTTCAACTTGCTGAGTGTCATCCAAGACTTGACATCATCAATGCACCCCCGCAAAGTCTGGACAGCGGAATCGACAAGAGATGGATGGGTATGCATGTATAGCTGTGTATCATCTGCAAATGACTGGTTCTCAACAGCATGCCTCCCGAGCAAGAGGAGTAGTGGTCTGGTATACATTATGAATAGAACCGGACCCAAAACGGACCCCTGTGGCACTCCGTACACCAAATCAGCACTGCCGGAGAGACAGCCATCGACAGAGACCATTTGCGTTCTATCAGAGAGGTAGGACCTAAACCAAGCCAAAACCGAACCAGAAATTCCAAAGTAGTTTTCAAGGGTTTTGAAAAGGATTTCATGGTCAACAGTGTCAAAGGCCGCACTGAGGTCTAAGAGGATCAAAATGGAGACATTACCGCTGTCCATTGCGCGCAAGAGGTCATTACTGACTCTCAAGAGAGCTGTCTCCGTGCTATGGAAATGTCTATAGGCCGACTGATTAGAACTGAGAAGAGAGTGATCATTTAAGTAAGCAAAAAGTTGTTTTAGGACATAGCATTCTATGCATGGACCTTGACATAGCATTCTATGCATGGGCCTTGACATAGCATCCTATACATGGGCCTTGACATAGCATTCTATGCATGGACCTTGACATAGAATTCTATGCATGGACCTTGACAAAGCATCCTATACATGGGCCTTGACATAGCATTCTATGCATGGACCTTGACATAGCATCCTATACATGGGCCTTGACATAGCATTCTATGCATGGACCTTGACATAGCATCCTATAACATGGTCCTTGACATAGCATCCTATACATGGACCTTGACATAGCATCCTATACGCGGACCTTGTTATATCACCCTATGCACGGATCTTGCAAAATATGGAGCATCATCTCATTAAGGTACATAAAGATGTTAAAAAAACAATAACAGAGCAACTAGCAGCAGAGGTGAATGGTGTACATGTAACGCTCAAGACTACAACTAACATTTAGATCCTTTCAAGTTATAGAAACTTAATATATAATTTTGAAGGGTTATAGCAAAAGTCAAATTGAAGTAAACATGTATATATATATATATATATATATATATATCTATATACATATATATATATATATATATATATATATATATATATATATTATATATTTCAATAAAAAATAAACACATATAAACAAAAAACAAATATATGTATATATTTATATATATATATATATATATATATATCTATATATATATATATATATATATATATATATATATAGATATATATATATTATATATTTCAATAAAGTAAACCGGCATTTAAGCAAAACCGAAATATTTGTATTTATTTATTTTCAAACTAGATTAAAAGACCCGATGTAATCAGATAGCTTTGCGCTAATTATTACTGCTATTGCCAAAAATACTCATAGTTCCTTATTTTGCAAAGAAGCATATATGTAATAATTTTCAAATTTCTAACATCATTAAATTTTGAGAAGTAATTTTCTGCTAAATGACACGCCAACCCAACTCTTTTCGCGCCCATCAACTACAATTTTGTTCTCAAAACATGGCGTTAAATTACCATATCTAAATGATCACCAATTAAATCATTATTGTCACTAAAGGAGTGAATTGACGGCTGATTTCTGTGCTGAAGAAATACTTCAGATGTTTTGTGTTTTTAAATGGTTAAATGTTGGGCCTACCCTAACCCATTTTGTGCCCATGAACTTACATTTTTTTTCCTCTACAAATTGTAACATATAATCTTAAATTGACTACAAAAACCGTATATTCTAGTTTAAATATAATATATATAAAGAAATTTGATGTATTGATATTTCATTAAAAATTTAACCAATGCTCCCGATGCACATGAACCAAAGAAGGTAAATTATTTTGTTCAGATCGAGTCCTTTATTTTGAGCCATATCTTGTCCTGAATGGTGCAAACTGAAAGTATTGAAATACACTCACCAACAGTTTTTCATTTTAAAAAAGAATAACATCATTCACGGGGATGATAACCCCCTTCGTACGCAACTACACATTTTATTGCACGTCCCCCAACTTAATTAAAATTCATAAAGGCCAAGATACCTTTTACCACACATTGTTTTATATTTTAAAAAAAATTCAATGATTATCCGACACAGCATTTTCTCATTAAAAGTGTATTTTAAGGTTAAGTTTTTAATAAGTTGTAAATTTAATAAAAGTATATTTTTTTTAAAATGTAAAACTGTAAAAACGTATTAAATGTAATACTTAAAGCTAACCATTTTTTGTGTTTTATTAATAATTTGAAAGGCAATCAATTATATTTTTAAAATTTACTTTTAAGAAGGGGATAATACATTATCAGTTCTGTCATGCGCAGTTATTAAATCAAAGAAACTTAGAGCTTTGGCTAAAATAGGCAATTCGCGTTATGACGTCATTTGCGTGTTTTCTTAGTGCAAATTAAGTTGTATTTTACTTCGCTAAATTTAACAACGCACTAAAAAAAACAAAATAAAACATATGTTTGGGTTTTCCCAATAAATTAGATTAAGATGTAGTTATTAGATCATAATTTAAAAAAAAAATTATTTCATTGCTTCAAACTCGAATAAATTGTTTTAAAAATGTCATTTATTGTTATTTTGTATGATTTCTAATTTAAAATAATAATACTTAAACATATACTAAAATAAAAGCGGATATATTTTATGTTTCGCAAATTTAAATGTATTCGATTTCCGTAAAATAATAGAAAATCACTTCATTGTTTTTAAGAATCAGAACGTATTTAAATCTCTTCGTTTCTTTGGCGTTATGGTCAGCCTAGATCATTGTTATATATATATAATAAAATGATTTTATTTTTGGGTCTTTCTCACAAAAATGCACCCCCTCCTTTTCAAGTAACGCATATGACACAGTCTGTACTTTATGAAACCCTTACTACGCATGCGTCTATAATCCCATCACAGAATAACTTATTGGACCATTTGATTAAGTTCGCGTCTGGTTCCTGCTCTTAAAGATCGCGTCTCCGAGGAAACTCGGGGGCGTCCAAATGGAGTTTGTCTCTCCTTGGTGTGGCAGAGTAGTAGGGAGGTACTGTTCTTCCAAAGCGAAAAACCCCGGCCGACAGCATGAATCCCAACGCAACTAGAGTAGTTCCGTCGTAACATAATTACTTGTTGCTGTTTGATGGATTCATGAGGCTTGGGTGGTGGTCAAAATCCATCCCGATTATCTTGGCTACGTGGTCGTGAGAAAGCCGCTCCTAGGCGACCGTTTCGTCCCAGCTCTCGTCCCGACAGAAGGACTCCCTAGGCGGTGGGGGTGGTAACGCAAAACCTTCCCTCCGGAGTGCTATCAAACCCGCCCAGGTCATTTGGGAAGTCGACAGCGAACGCTGTAAACGAAGGTTTTGGTGGACCGGGTGTCCCCAATGACCAGGGGGGGGGGGAGGGAGGGGGGTTCCTGGCGGTCTTCCGCACTTTCTGGCAGCGTGGAGGCCCGCATCTGGCTTGTGTGGAGGAGAGCCGGGGTTGGGAGGCATTAAGAGATCGCGCTTGACGGCCCACAGACACTATTGCCCTATGTCAGGTATTAAATTAATATTTTTACGTTTTTTTTCCCCATCCCTAATCATGATATGTTGTAAATGTATATAGTAAACTTTTTATTATTGAGACACAAGACATACGATTTTAGATCAGACATATGACTTTTCTTAAAATATAATCATAACATGTGTCTTGCTATATAATCATAACATGTGTCTTATAATAATAATGTTTGTCTTACAATAATCATAAGATTAGTCCTACTAAAATTATACGATGTGTCTTAATATAATCATAACATGTTTCTTTCTATAGTCATAAGATGTGTCTTACTATAATCATAACATGTTTTATTCTATAATCATCAAATGTGTCTTACTATTATCATAAAATGTGTCTTACTGTACTCATAAGATGTTACTTACTATAATCATAAGATGTGAATTACTATAATCATAAGATTTGCCTACTATTATTTAAGATGTATCTTACAATAATCATCAGATAAGTCTTATAATAATCATAAGATTTGTCTTACTATAATCATAAGATGTGTCTTTCTATAATCATAAGACTGTCTACTATAATCAATAGATGCGTCTCACTACTTAAACATCAGGCTCCTTTGTTTAGTAGCAATGATATCTCTTTCACGTGGGCATTTTAACATAAACAGAGATTCAGAAATGTTTGGGGCAAAAAAAAAATTAAGACAGATAACTCATGTTGACCGAGATACAAAAGGCACTGAGTTTTTTTTGTTTTTTTTTGTTTAAAGTCAACACTCATTTTGAAATATTCGTATAATTTCTTCTTTAAAATCACGCCAACAAGATCATGATATTTGTATATGTCACGTCCATCGGATATCAGTTGAGTTTTTTTGTTTGTTTTTGTTTAACTGTCGGTCGTGATTTTATTATGCCATCCAATTTTTTAATTATTATTTTTTTTAACATATTAAACCCTCGGCTACGTTAGCTATATGTCAACACTTTTTTTGATATGTGTCTGTCATGTCTTTTATTCTGTCGCATTGTTCTATAACGTTATACACAGATAAACGCAGATTGGGAAAGTACACACAGTTCTGATACCGAACCACTTGTTAACTCAAGCGTCTGGACATATCCTCCTAAAAAATATATATATATATAATTCGTCAGCGAAACTAGGGCAAAAAAGACGCAGGCTTTAAATAGATACGCCAGAGCAAGCAGGCAAGACACAGGCAAACCCTCCCCTCCCTTCCCTGCCCATCGTTGATCTCGAGACATGAAATAGATACGCCAGAGCAAGCAGGCAAAACACCGGCAAACCCTCCCCCCCCTTCCCTGCCCATCGTTGACCTCGAGACATTCGCACTGCGTTGGAGCCACCGCCAGCCCCCCCCCCCCTGCACCACCCTCGCTTGCCAGCCATGCGTACACCCCAACAAGCTCTGAGTCAGAGAGCAATTCTTCGACGTATGCCACGCCGCGGGACATCTAGTAGTGGGATTTTTTTCCCGACTGAGCTACATATTTTGTTATACCAAGCCAGGCGTTGTAGTTGGGAACGCAAAAGGAATTTTTAAAAAAAAATGTAAATCTTTCATATCAATTTCGCTTTTATTTGTGTATTTAAGGCGCAAATCTTCGGAAGGCTGATTAAACCACTTCCTGTCAACCCATCGAGCTGAAACTTGTCACATACACGCGTTGTTTATGACAACACATTTTTTCAAATTTTCAGCCCCACCCCAAACCCCGAAAAAAATCCGTTTTTTTTTACGGGAAAGATGACGGAAATGTAATGACACTGATTTCTGGACATAAAATTCCCGACTCTTGCGCTAAATGAGATTAAAGAAAAAAAAATACATTAAAAAAATCTCAAGTGCATTTGGCGCGTAAACTTATCTTTGCATCTAAAGAATTTATACGAAAAACATTCTTTTTAAAAGTTGTTTAATTAACCCATGACTTTAAGTAGCAAACTCACTGTGACAAGATCAACACATATCACCCAGGAATACAAGAACACCCCCACCTGTGTGAGAATGTTGATGGGAACCATTCTGTTGTTGGAGTTAACGCCCGCTACATTTGTTGCCAAGAGTATTTTTTTGTAGCACACGGTATGCGAGGGATTAATCAAAGACAGACTAATCACAGCTCATGTTTACAACACTCTTTGGTTTGAATCAAAGACAGAGTTATCACAGCTCATGCTTACAACACTCATTGGGTTGAATCAAAGACAGACTTATCACAGCTCATGTTTACAACACTCTTTGGGTTAAATCAAAGACAGACTTATCACCGCTCATGTTTACAACACTCATTGGGTTGAATCAAAGACAGACTTATCACAGCTCATGTTTACAACACTCATTGGGTTGAATCAAAGACAGACTAATCACAGCTCATGCTTACAACACTCTTTGGTTTGAATCAAAGACCGACTAATCACAGCTCATGCTTACAACACTCTTTGGTTTGAATCAAAGACAGACTTATCACAGCTCATGTTTACAACACTCACTGGGTTGAATCAAAGACAGACTAATCACAGCTCATGCTTACAACACTCATTGGGTTGAATCAAAGACAGACTAATCACAGCTCATGCTTACAACACTCTTTGGTTTGAATCAAAGACAGACTTATCACAGCTCATGTTTACAACACTCATTGGGTTGAATCAAAGACAGACTAATCACAGCTCATGCTTACAACACTCATAACAACTCAAGCTACCACACACTCAAAACAGCTAAAAACAGTTATGTAGCTAAAAAGAGTAATAAAGCTAAGCGAGTTAATCGCTAAAGAGAGTTGTATAGCTAAAGAGAGTTGTAAAGCTAAAGAGAGATGTAAGACAGTTATATAGCTACAGACAATTTATATTGTTGAAGAGAGTTGTATTGCTAAAGAGAGTTGTAAAGCTAAAGAGAGATGTAAGACAGTTATATAGCTACAGACAATTTATATTGTTGAAGAGAGTTGTATAGCTAAAGAGAACATACAGATAAAGAGAGTATATAGCTAAAGAGAGTTCTATAGCTAAATGAAGTTGTATAGCTAAATAAAGTTATTCGCTAAAGAGAGTTTATATAGCTAAAGAAGGTTATATCTGCTGGGCAGAGTTTTATCTGCTAAAGGGAGTCTATATATCTAAAGAAAGTTATAAAGCTAAAGAGAGTTATATCGCTAAAGAGAGTTTTATCTGTTAAAGAAATTTTTATCTGCTAAAGAGAGTTTTATCATCTAAAGAAAGCTGTATCTGCTAAAGAGAGTTTATATAGCTAAAGACAGTTATATAGCCAAAGACAGTTATATAGCTACATCGCTTACGAGAGTTAAATAGCTACAGAAAGTTTTGAATACACTTAAACGTTCGACATAAAAAGAAGACGTCTATATAAAGTTACTTAAGTGTTACGGGCACTAAAATATCCAGGGGAATTTATTGCAGCGCAGTAAATCTGTAACAAGAATCGTTAACCGCAAAACTGATCGCTCCGGAATTTCTTTTGTTCTTTTGAAGCTTACTTAAATTTAGTTAAAGCAAATTATTTTTTTAATCATATTCCAAACAAATGTATTTTAATTCAGTGCCATCAAATAAAATATAATATTTAAAAAAAGTCCCTATAGATTTCACTTTAGTTACAAAGAATAAATTTCAGTTCATGCCTTTCATGTAAATCAGGGGATCCCAAACTAGGGCCCTCGAGCCAGATCCGGCCCACCAGGGGTCTTAAACCCGGCCCACTTTATCCGCCCTACTAATACCCGGTAGTGGGCCGGATATTATTTAGATACTTGAAATCGGATTCGACCATTTCATTAGCCAAAAGCTGGCTCTTACTTACCATTGAAATACCAAGTCTATGTTGATTAAAATTGTTGTACTTTTTTATATTTTATTGTTTTTTTCATGATGATTTTTTAAAATTTTTTTTTATTTCGTCAATTTTTTTATAGCGGTCCACAACAATGGCTGGCGTACAGTGTTTAAAGAGTTAAAGGATCACTGATTTAAACCATTATAAAATTTTACCAATAGATTTGATTTAAACCTAATCAACACTTTGTAGAATCATTTCTTGTAGAAAAAGTGCCACCAATCCCACACAAACTGATTCCCTTTCAATTCGTCTTCGAAAAAAGCGTTTGTCTGTTTTTAAATGTGGGTTCGTTCATCAACTTATACCGCAAACTAAATTGATTCCATTCCTCAATCTTAAATAAAAACACATAGTTTTATTTTTATATCGAAAAAAGCTTCCAAAATAAGAAAAAAAATCATTAAAAAACAGCAACATTCCTGAAGAAAACCTTGTTTCATCCACACTTAAAATTATATAGATTCGGCTAAACAATCTTTAAATTAAAAAAAAAAAAAAGAAAGAGTGGCTAATGGAAAGATGAGGTTTTGAAAATATTAATGTTAATTTGATATAAAAATTATCTCAACTTAGGTCTGATTTTAAGAAAAGATAAATATGATTTGATTTTAACAGGGTGAAAAGAGGGACGTTTGGCCACCAGGAAGTAATGGAGAGGAAAGAGAGAATAAAGAGAGATGGAGGAAAGATAGTAAAAGTATTTCAGAAGGACAGAGAGCAGAGTTGATTTAGAAAGATAGTTAGACGAAAGCCGGAGTTTGAGGACGAAATTACCTAAATGGAATTTTTAAAAAAAATGTAAGAAGTCACACTTGAGATAAAAGAAAAAAATACAGTGTAAAATCCAATAAATGCCTGTAACGGCGTCCTAGTGAGATTAGAATCTAAAAGTTTCCTACTCGATTCCTGCCGTGTCAACTATAAACAAATGGAATCACAAAAGTTGGCCACAACTAGAATCGTAACTCATAAAAATAAACATGTCCTACAATTGTTTTGACTTGAAATCATTGCGAGCCAGTCGTATCATCTAAACAGCTTTTTTTCTTTGGCTTGCTGCTAAACATATAAGACAGTCGTATCATCCAAACACCCTTTTCTTTGGCCTGCTGCTAAACATATAAGCGCAATAGTTCATGTACACTAAACACTACGATGGTTGAAGTTCACAGCTCATTGGCTCGTTGTTAAACACACAGGACAAAAGTGAAATACTCCGACTACACTGTAAACTATGGTGTTTGAGTTCAAACAGTAAACAGCTCAAGAGTTAGAAAACAAGAAAATGAACATCTATCCATTGAGCTGTCCAGAAAGCTCCCAGCATTTAAACTAGTTTTTTTTTTTTTTTTTTTTTTTTTTTTTTTTTTCCTTTTTTTTTTTTTTTTTTTTTTTTTTTTTTTAAAGTACACAAAAATTACACAAAACCCAAACACACCTATAAAAAGTAACAGCCATTTTATAGTCTCGTAATTTTTTTTTTTTTATTGCGTGATAACTCTTGTGTCTTGTGTTACTAAAGATAGTACCGTCCCCTTTCTCGGTTTTCCAGCTCTATTAGTTCTGAGTTCCGAGAGTCGGGAATGTTGCAGATAAGAGATTGTTTAAACTAAATTGTTGACTTTGGCACAATGGGCTGTGTGGCGTATCACAGACTTTCAGCACTCCAATAACGCCGGTGTCCGTGTCGTAATAAAGAAAACATATTACATGGAAACCAAGCATAATAAATGGACTGATGTGTGAAGGAATTTGTGGAGCAATGTATGTGGCAGCTTGAATCGAAAGACAGGACTCTAAGAGAAGAAAGCTTCGGCTAAGAGCCTTCCTCAGCAGATGGGAACATGAAAACACGACCAAAAAAAATAGAAACTAGTTTTAATTTAAAAAAAAAAAACTTAAAATCATTCGCTATTTTATTACCGGAAGTTGGATTTTCCGGAACTAAGCATAAAAGGAATTGTGTTCATTCATACAAAATGAAATATCTCTTTCTAAGAATCATCACGAATGGGTATTTCACTAAACGGCAATGTTACTTACGCATCGACGACATGAGACGGTTAATAATGTTAAGTCGAAGTTCATTTCTTTAAAAGAACTCCAGGCTGCAACTGTTAACTAACATGTACAATTTAGGGATGGACCGGTCGCAGCGTTTGGTTTGACACCCGGTGAATGTCCGGGTCATTGGAGAGAAGTTTCTACAATATGTTCCATCCAACGGCGAGAAGTGAAAAGTGCATGTGTAGAACCAGTAGCTATCATGAGGGTGGCATCGAATTTGAAGGTGTCAAAAAAACAACTAAACAGCTTAACGATATAATCGTAACCCAGCGGTTCTCAATCTTTATAATACATCATCGACTCATTTTTTTAAACATTTGCCAAGTTGAGGCAAACAACAACCAGAATTATAACTTGAAATGGGAGAAACAGGTGTTGAAAAAAAAACTAGTGGGGGGATGTCAAAGCTTTTTTTTGTAGATAAAAAGGTGTTGTGTTGTAGTTTTGATCTGGTGCAGTTGGACGCATGAATAAGGGCTAAGAAGGGTGGAGGGTTCAGGTGAGGAGGGATGGGGGCTGTATAAGTCGATCCCTAGAAAAGTTTTGAGAAATTCGTACACCATGTTATAGTTCTACTAGGGAGATGCCATCCTTTAAGTTTAGGCCAAACGACTGAAAAACAAAAAAAAATCACATATACTATAAATATATATTGATGAAAAGAACTTGCAAACATGTTTATATTAAATTAGCCGCTGACGCCTACCCAATGAACCATTGTTTTAAATTTTATTTTATGCAGCTGTCATGTAGTCAGAGTTTATTAAAAATGAGAAAATAATCCGATCCCTTTAAATAGTATTTAAATTTTAAGATGAAAATTCAACTGAAGCAAAAATTAAAATTTTACTCTCAACCCTTTAAAAACTCCAAATACCCCCAATTTCGGACATTTTCATGGACCCCGTTCGTTTTGTCATGCATCCCAGCGGGGATTTTCGACACACAGGCTGAGAACCACTGCCCTAATCCATAATCCTAAAAAAAGAATAACAATTTCAAACATGGAGCTGAATTATTTATACTTAATGCGTCATTATTGTTTGTCGCTACAGTTATTAGCAGTTATAATGTTTTTTTAAATAGAAAATGAGAACATAACTTTTATATATATATTATTTATATATATATATATATATATTGAAACATCAGGACCCCCCTTTCCGTTTTTATTTTTTCTTCTTACCGGGTCTGGATATTAATACCAAGTGCGCTAATAGTCCGGATGTCCGGATATCCGAGTCAGTACCCTGGTCAGCCCAAGCAAAAATAGACATCTCTCTGGGGAAACCTTTTGGACTGCCATGTGCTAGTGGAGACAAAAATGAAGCTGTAGTTTGTCTCGATAGACCAATCCCAATTAATAAAGCCAGAGGATATGGCATGCCAGTGAATATATTAGGAGTACTCAAGGAGAATTAACAGAGGAGCCATCCCCCTTCATGAGAACTCAAGGAGAAGTAACAGAGGAGCCATCCTGCTTCGGTGTTACCTTCAATGTAATATACTTTTAACGCCATAACTTAACTGGCATTATTTTGAAGAGCTCATACTGGAACTCAAAACCGGTAGTTTTTCCACTACTATAATTTAAGAACCCCTACTTACGCACGCATGGCTCAACGACCTCTTACGTTTAGCAAACACGGTCACTCCTGGATCAGATGTCTCCATTTGACTTCCATTGACAACTGTCACTTTGAGACTTGTTGTTGACCGGTAATTTTGATTAGCTTCTCACCTACGGTAATGCATTTTCGATGTATCCATGATAAGGATTCAATGCACGCTGACAAGTTGACATTCCACAGGACCATCGTATCGCAGTATTCTAGCCAACCATCCTATCGCAATATTCTAACCACGCCTCACGTTGAAAGTTCTGTGTTAGCAAGCCATGGGCAGCACAGCGGAGGCACACTTTGGTTGGTATCATGGTACAAAAGAGGAAAATTTTGGTTGGTATCATGGCGGCACAATGCAGGCACAATTCGATCGGTATCGGGACACAGCGGCGGCATACTTGGGTCGATATTGTGCCGACAAAATGGAGGCACCATTTGAGCGGTAACATGGCGGCGTATTGGAGCCCCACTTTGGTTAGTATGAGGACGGCACAACGGAGGAACACTTTGGTCGGTATTTTGGTGGGTAATTTGGCGGCACAATATGTTGGATATCACGGAGGTACAATGGAGGCAAAATTTTGTAGTTATCGTGGCGGCACAATGGAGGCACAGTTTGATGGGTATCTGCGCGTTAAAATGTGGAAGGATTCCTAGCTGGTATCTTTGGACGTTACAAGAGAGGTCCGCTTTGAAATGCATTATGGGGCTACACTGTAGGAAAGCAAAGAGCCGGTAAACTTTTGACGGAGAAATGGAACCAAACTTTGAATATGTGCTCTGAAATTATTCTGTGAGCCTGAGGCAGGGGTGGATAGTTTTAGCGACAGCGCACGTGTGCGTATGGTGCATAATGACACGAACGGCATTTCTACATTCCTGAGTTGCCGGGTGCCGACCGCAGATCTGTGCGGTAAGCTTTTACAGAGAGCCTATTGGTCTATGAGGCCTAGGTATTCGCCCCTGAATGTGGGAACTTCGTCTGGAAAAAGCTTGAGAACCATTCGCACAATTTAACGCCAGGATGTGTATTGGGGATTGTAGGAAGAGAGAGACAGAGAGAGCAAGAGAGATACAGAGAAAGAGAGAGAGACAGCGAGAGAGACAGAGAGGGGAGATAGAGACAGGGGGAGCGAGAGATAGAGGCAGACAGATAGAGAGGCAGAAAGAGAGAGAGAGAGGCAGTCAGAGAGAGACATAGAGAGTGTGTGTGAGAGAGAGAGAGAGAGAGAGAGACACGCATACACACACACAGATTTCCGTTCATGACTTATCAGTTTTTCAGTTAAACAAATTAAACATTGGAGGAAATGTATTTAAAAAGCAAACACAGGACTTCCACCCCCGTAGGTTTTAATCATTTATTTCAAAATTGAACAAGACTAGCAATTAGAAAAAAAAAATCAAAAAAGCATTTCCACGAATAGTATCTCATAAGCCATCAGAACGCAATCCTGTAGGTAAGACCTGGAACACAACTCATTAGCCCACCTACCACCAATAGACAGTGGCATGGGCGCCCACAGGGGGGAGGGCAAGGGGGGCACTTGCCCCCCCCCCCTGGATTGATTGGATAAACAATTTTTAGACAAAAATAGACAAAAAATTTATTAAAGTAAAGTGTAAATAAAGAGAAAGTAACTAAGCTGATGTCCTGTCCGTTCGCTCACCATACAAATACGCTACAGTAAATTAAAACTGTATTAAAACATTACCAAAAATTGTTTGCCCCCCCCCCCCCTGGAAAGTTAATCGATTTTTTTGCCCCCCCCCCTCCCCTAGAAAGTTTTTTGTGGGCGCCCATGGTCAGTGGTGTCGAGCATGTGACGCGTGCTGCATCGGGTACGCAGAGCTCTCTCTGTTGGCACGCCAGCCATGTCGCAGCCCCCCCCCACTCCAACTAAAATAATATAATAAACCCCCAGTAATGACCCCCGCCCCCCCATCTAAACAAGAAATTCGGTATTCAGGCTGAATTTTGGTGATCTCTCTGTCATGAGATTACTAACAGTGTTTAAGGCTGCAGGTTGGGCACTTGGTCTCAGACAAAAAGCTTCGGCATCACACCACTGAGCCGGCCAGTGCAATTTTAACAGGGGGAATTAGTAAAGTCATTCAGTCATCAGTTTTCCCGGGAGAAGAAATATTACAAAAACCCAACAACTTCACATTCGCTGTTCGTAGTTGGTTGGATGGGAATCACTCGACGCACTCACCAGACTTAAGAAATTCCAACTTTGAAAAAAACAAACAACTGCCAATCTTAGCGGCAACGATTGTAAGGTTGCATAGAGCAGGCCTGCCCAACATACGGCCCGCCAGCACCCACGTTGTGGCCCGCGTTGTAACGAACAAATCTTTATTCTTCTTATTTTCTTAATAAGCTTCACCCCTGTCCTATTTTCTTTTGGCCAGCACAAGTTTTTCAAAAAAATATTACGGCCCGCCTTACAATTTTAGCTGTGCAAGATGCCTAGATGATTCTTTACCCCAAATCCAAATGAAACAAGAGACGATGTGGCATGACGGAAATGACGTAAGAGCGGATTGACATTTTTAAGTTGGTTGGAGGATATTCGAGCAAGTATGAAGGGTATCGGGTAACGATCAAAAAGTCTGCAAGACACGGCACCAGCGTTCTCGGTTCACTTTAAACAAGTCCTGAATTGATAATCTTTAAACAAAAAACTTGTGAACGATATTTCTAAAGTTATAGCTGTCATGAAATTTACTGAACCTAATTTCGCGATATGTATGGATGTAAAAGGGTAGGGGCACCGCAAGGGAGCATGAGGAGGAACACCTTGCTATTTGGAAGTAAGGGGTCATCTGGTTTTCAAAATGTAAATTTAAAAAAAAAATGTTCTGATAAGACCACAATGAATATATTCTTATACATCTTTATTATTCTTGAAAATGTCTTTTGTTTGTTTTGTTCATTTTTTAAAACTCCCTCTCCCCCCCTCCCCTCCCCCTCCAAATAACATTTTCAGAAAGCTGAAAAGTAGGTCTAAATTTTTTTTTAAAAAATTCAAAAATTCAAAATTAAAATGTCTGTATAGGTGGTGAAGAACAAAGTATAAGCCGCTCGTGGTCAGCCAAGAGACATGAGAAGGGCAATAGTTCAAACATCATGGTTGGGCTCAATAATTAACAAGGGTTGCCAACAGTTAGTAGATTTACGGACAGTACGGGAAAAAAAAATTGACCTAAGATGCATTGCCCGTAAAAGTCTAAAAAAAAAAAGACATTGTTTTAGAAAAAAACACTTCAAAGCGGAAATAATGAGATCTCACTAGTTTATTAAAAAAGATTGTGAAAGTGAAGAATATTTGTTCTGTAAATTGTATATTTGTTGAGTTGAGAACGATTGTTCAAACCCTATTCATACGATGTTTTTTATTAATAACATAATAAAGATGTTAAAAAAAAACAAAAAACCAAGCAACATGAATTGAGATGTGGATATTATGAGTGCAGACTGAGCACTCTGTGTAGAGCAACAATTCATCATAAATGTAGACGA